TCCAAGTTACCTCCCCGAAAAAAATCTCCTTTTTAAAAATTAATTCGGTTATATATATATACACAGATAAAACGTAATTGTTTAAAATGCTAACAGTTCATTACAATACAACAGCTTGTTGAATTTTTTAAACAGGCCTTATTACTTGTAAACAACCCTTTTAAACGGTGCTTTTATTGTGCATAATGATCCATTCCAAACATACAGAGTACAGTGTTAATAAGACACGAACTCAAGCTAAGCTAAATAACTTAGTTTAGCCGCAGAGGGAGCTAAACAAGTATGACGAATCTTTCAATGGGTTGAAAATTTTCTGGCTTGAAAAGGACGTCACGGTGTTCGGACACACACAATGCGTCTTCTCGTGGGCAAATCGTGCATCCGGGATTAACTCAATACGGCTTTCATGCATGCGCTCTCAGGTTAAAAACACGCAGCTTCTCGCACATGAGAATTAATCCAAGGCGCCTACTACATGTAGGTAATGAGAGACCTTTGGTGATGACGTCATTAATCATTGTTATCTTATTAATCAGTTACATCATGACTACAATTTCGTTACCAAATAAAGAGAAAAAATACTAAAGAGAATACAAAAATATCTGTATGTGTAACATTGTTCATGTTTATGTAAATTATGCAAATGTGCTTAAGGGTCTTCCATTCCCCACACCTACCCTATCTAAATTTGTACCAAACACGATGAAAGATTAATGCAGCACAACTGCAATTGTTGCCCCAAAAAAGCATTTAATATGATTTCAACGTGACATAGATTTAAGAAATTGGCATTTGGCTGGCACACATATTGTATTCAAATTAATATGTTTATAGAGGGCGCTATTTCAAAATATGCAAATAAGCTGGTCATCTATGGCCATGCAACATCACGAAACATTTTTTTAGTGATGGTCCTAGAGAGATACAGACATTTGGCTGCCAAAAATTGTAGAAAAAATCCTTATTATATATTTATTATTCATTTTTAAAGGAAAATCATGTACTTTGGCGGCCATTTTGTATGACGTCATATATCTTAAATTGCTCAAGGCTGACAGAGTGTCAGCAATCGGATTCTTGAAATAGAAGGTCTAGGCAATCAAAATCCATTGAAAAAAAACTATAGACCCTAAAACAAGGTTAGGCCAATAATCTGGATTTTGCTGCCGGACTATAGGGCCTATTCCAAAATCTTCCCAACCCGGTAGACGCAAGTGGAAGATCATCTCGTTCAAACACAACAATAATGGTTCTAATTGTCATCTTTACGTCATGAGTTTCACGTAGCTAGTCCAAAAACCTTGTGAGGGGGTATGCTATTAAAATTTTTCCTTTTTTCCTTCTGCGGCGATAAAGCGCAACCACAAAGTACAACGATACTTACATGCCGACAAACATGCAGAGCGACCAGGGAGACAGCAGTAGCCTCCGCCCGGCAGCGTAATTTGTTTCCCACTTGTGCTTCGGACCCCAGTATGAACGAAGGGTACGATGCGAAGCTCCTCACACACGAACAGCGCCTTGGCTATGTCAGCATGCATGGTGTGCGTGCATAGCCATGACACAGCTAGACTTGGTAATAGTTTCATTTGGGCTCTATACCCTTACAAAAATGTACCATGGTAACCATGGTACTTTTGTCCAAATTACCATCCACCATGATAACCATGGTGGATGGTAATTTGGACAAAAGTACCATGGTACATTTTTGTAAGGGTAGCATGTCTACCTTTAGCAAATTTATTATAGATCTACTGTTTTACACCTCTAATAATAATATCAGCTCATGAAATTGCTGTGAATAGTTATTACTTTGCACTAATTAAAATTTATTTTGGCAATTAATGATAGGCCTTATCGTCATCAAAGCCGCTATATAGGGACTCATTTCTAAAGATTTTACGGTTGAGAAATTCATTATAGATCTGCACCTCTAGAAGGCTCTAATAATATCAGCTTAAGAAATTGCCGTGATGTTCATAGCTCTCAGGTAAGAATCCCTGCAATAAAAGAAGTAACAAAATAAAGCTGATATTATTAGAGCATTTTAGAAGTGTATATAGTCTAGATGTATAATAAATGCTCAACCGTAAACTCTTAAGAAGTGAGTCCCTATATAATGCCTTCGATGACGATAAGGCCTACCTTTGATTGCTAGAGTTACTTTACCTTCGTGCTAATTGATAGTTTTTCACAGCAATTACATTAGCTCATATCACTAGAGGTGTAGATCTATAATAAATTTGGTAAAGATATGTACGAGCCTATGCACGCCCACAGTGCGCTGTGTGTGTGAACCTAAAGCTTCGCATCACCGTTTCGAATTTCGCATCCGTCAAATCTTTAGCACGCGTATAGCTTGTTATTAACAAGATGAGCTCTGATTGGCTGTATGAAAATGAGTTTATACTGGGGTCCGGAGCTCAAGTGGGAAAAAAATTACGCCGCCCGGCAGGCCAGGACGGGCGCTTGTTTGCCAGCTATATACACTTTCGCCAGTTTTAGTTAGCTGCTGTGCTGGTATGCTATATGGTCTTCGAGACGGCACTGCTAGCTAGAGCTAGCTAAAGCGCGCGGACGCCAAAGGCAAAGAGTAGCTAGCTGCACTGGTACGCTGAGAGATGGCGCTATATAGTAACAACAATTTTCACGATCGAGCAATTTGAATTTTGAATTGGACCGTTGGCGAGCACTTGCGAACTGGCATTCTTAGACATTTATTTTGAGCTAGATTATCATATTTTGACATTATATGATGACTTTGTCTTTATATAAACTCTTATATGCATATTTCTAGTATTTCAAACCATGAAATACCTAGGTTTAGTAAGGGGAAAATTTCGCTCCCACTTCTCAACCTTCTCTTTAAAAGCAGAAAGGGTCAAACATAAGTTTCCAATGATATTTAGAGCAATGTCAGACTTGACACTCAAGGCGCTCCCGAGTATTACCCTGGCTTAAGCACGGCTGCCATCAGGGGCGGATCTAGCCAGCGACAAGGGGGGGGGGGGGGGCAAATCTTGAGAACAAATTTAGCGCCGACTCAGCCGGCTGGTAAATAAGTGGGGGAGGGGGGGGGGGGAGGTGTAACAAAACTTTTTTTTGGGGGGGGGGGGTGTGGAAAGGAGAACCACTTATTCTGTTGGGGGGGGGCGAGAATATAACTTTTGTTTTTTTTGGGGGGGGGGTCAAGGGGGGGGCGATTTTTTATTTTAAGAAAAGGTTAAATTTACGTTATTATCCTATTTTTTACTGTTTTTTTAGTTTAGGCGAGGTAGGGAGGGGGGAGGGCCTCTCAAATCTGCACGTGGAACCGCGCCTGGCTGCTATTACGGCGCTCTTGCTCTAGCAAATGTATAAATAGATACATCCTTTTGGAACTATGTTCAGTGCTATGGAATTAGGTTAATTTTAGGTAATTGGAACAGTTACAACAATGAAACCCTCTCTCTTTATTAATGCATAATAAATAGCTCAAAAACTCGCAAACTCGGATAATGATGTACGTTTAAAGGTAAAGACCAGTTATGGTCATGCGATTGCATTGTGAAATCGATCAGAAAAGGTTGATCATCTAGCATCTAGCATCTGCAAGGTTCTGGAATCATCAAAATGATAAGAAATTTGGCCCATTCTTCGTAAAGTTACAAGCACTATACACAGAAAGATGTATATGGGACTACCCTATATCTCTCACAGTCCATGAGAGAAACAAATTTACCAAATATATGAATTAGTAGGCGGTTTCCCGGCGAATTTGTTATCCTCACGTATTAGTCAAAACATATTCTTTCACATGATTGGTAATGAGAGCTTCCATTTCATTTTTTGAAATTGGGGCGTTTCCAATACTGGTCTTTACCTTTAAAACAATCATGGATTTGTGAACACGTGTTAAAAACGCATAGGCTAAGACAATGGAGGTATGCGCGTAATCAAATAAAATCTTTGGATAAGGGGACAGTTGAGTTCTTACTTCAGACCGTTAATGCCTTCAAAGTGCATGGTTATTGCTCTATTCTCTTTTATGGCATTTATATGCTCATTTAGGAACTAACATTGGTTTGAAGGTAATTTAAGACCCCAAAATGTGTGAAATTTACCATTCAGCTCTACTTTCCCCAAAATACGGTGACAGTTAATTCATAAATCAATAATAACAATACACGGGCCGGCTGGATGTGCGTATTACAGCCAACACGAAAAAGCCAAGAAAAAGCAAACATGGGCATTGGCTAAAATAAAACGTATTCGCCGCTGTCTATTTTTTTCAACGGCTGGTTCAAAATTATCGAAATAGTTATATTTATCGATCAAACAAAAAGATTATTCTGTCATTTAAATTGTTTGCTCTTTCAAATTTGACCCTCATTTTTTTCGTTATCTCACAAAAAATAAAAGCAAAATTGTGTAGCGCCCTCTATACCAAAAACTCAACTATCCGTTTGATGGCAAAATACTGTTTTCGTATTACTTTGTTCACTGTGCAAATTAATACAAAAATCAAGGATTTACTGGCGAACCTTGTCAGTGGTACTAGGTTTCATACAATTGATAATAAAAATGTTATATGGCTATTTTTGTCTTCGTGGTAAAAAAGGTGTATAAGCACGCTCTTTGGTATTATTGCACTCGTCGTGCCACTCGTGACATGTTTTTAGTTCGACGTGCGATATAGCCTCTTGGCTTACCAATCGAGGTCATATTTCAATATTGAATTAACAATACCTTAACGATGGATACAGAAAAAATGTGGGAGCCAAATGTTTTAAATGATACTATGCTTTTTTTTTTAAAGAAAGTACAAAACTGTGCGACGTGAAATAGTTTTTTTTCGGTAGGCCCACAGATAATAAGACCTTTATTAAATTCAAAGGTATGAATTAACTCTGCTTTGTATGGTTACCTATATATTGTTTTAAAATGCTCCCCTATTCCCCCCCCCCCCCCCTCTCTCCTTTTATTTCCTAATTGCTTTTCTTTTTCTTTCACCTTCAAAGTTAACGCCTATTTGAGAGACGGGAGCAGCAGCAGAGAAGGTCGGGTCGAGGTCTACTATCAAGGATCATATGGTAATACCGTCTGCGACGATGGCTTTGGTATGACTGATGCGAATGTAGTTTGTAGAATGCTAGGTTATACCTTCGCAGAGTCCTTTTCATGCTGTGCGGCATTCGGCGAAGGAACTGGGGACATTCTTCTGAATAATCTCCAATGTACGGGAGACGAAGTGACGATTGGACATTGTATGCAGAATCCATTTGGAATGCACACATGTGGACACAGTGAAGACGTAGGAGTAACGTGCATTAAACGTAAGAATAACAATGATAATAATATTACAAGAACTTAAAGGAATTAATTCCTGCCAGATACCCACTTGCTTCACATGGGTCGAGTGCGGCAAATCAATGAAGATTAAAGTCTTACAAAGGACATTAGTTTCATGACAGCAACTCGCCGACACTCCCTTCAAGTATCAACTGTCAGGAGGACGGTGTAAAACCAAAGCTAACTCTGTTCTCGCCTTATTTCCAATTTAGATAATAGGGCCTATATTCCTACAAGTAAACTGATTCTAGTCGAATTCATGGACTTCACGTGTTAAACCCCACCGAATAAATAGATCACATTAGATTGTTTTTTAGTTTCAGTTTTCAGTTTTATTTTTCATTTCCAACAGAACAGTAATTTTGATAGGAAATAAGATACACAGTACAACATTCAATAATATAATACATACACTTTACATGGTTTAAAGTTGTGAAATAGAAAGTATACATAAATATCCAGTATATTGGATTTTTTAAAGTTTTTTTTAAAAGTAAACCTGTGGAAATGGAGGGATCTACTGAAAAGCAGAGCTTGTAAAATGTGGAACCTCAAAATAATGACAAACATAGATTTTGTAACATGTAAATATATTGACTTGAACAATATATATATATACATATATTCAATTGTTCGGGGACGCCATACCATGGTAATTGTGATTTTGATTGTTTTTATTTTTTTTTAAAATAAATTGAATTGAATTTATTTTCTTCTGCAGAACATTCAAATCAAATTACATTTCAACGAAACAACATGTACAAACTTAAATAATTTTGTTGAACGTGTACACAACATAATAGTATTAGAAATGTTGACATTGAAGCAAAATGTAACTGGTAAAACACTATCAGTCTATTAGTCAGTTATATATACACTGTTGGTCATAATGGTGGAATATTTATTTTTACCCCAGTTTAGGGAAGGATTTTTAAAAATTATTTGTTTCTAATAGATCTAGATAATGGCAAACATTCTCAGATTTTATTTAATATTAATTTGCGAGTGTTTGTTTTGCGTGACTGCTAAATCATATGTGTGCTACTATGCTAATCAGCTAGGGAACCTACGTCCTTACATTTACTGATTCAACGAATATGAAGTGCCTATACGTGATTAGAACTTGAACCAAAATATAATTTTCTTGATTGTCCGATTACATTGAAACTTTCACATTTATGTTTGTCTAATTTCTCTGCTTTCTTTTGAAGTACTAGTCTGCCAAGGTTTTTGTTCTCTCTTTTTAATTTGGAGTATTTCTAAACCGATTTCTTTTTAATCTGGCATACATTCAGACCACAAATACAACATTACTTCATTTGTATTAGTTCCCGTGCGTCTTGTTGACGGAGCTTCAGCCAATGAAGGGCGAGTCGAGGTGAACTACCAAGGATCATGGGGTACAATCTGTAATGACTCTTGGGATATCAAAGACGCTACCGTCGTTTGTCGAATGCTAGGTTACCCTGGAGTCTCTTCTGCTTTGGTGGGCTTCGGAGAAGCCACTGGTGATATCATCCTCGACAACGTTGAATGTGACGGGTCAGAAACGCACATCGCACAATGCACACATGGCGCCTATCAGATCCATAACTGCGAGCATTCTGAAGACGTTGGTGTTATATGTAGCGGAGAAGGTAAAGTTGCAATTTCCGAAAATGTAATACTATCACTCCAAAAAAAAAAAAAAAAAAAAGTAAAAGACGTGCAGTATATTCCCTGTATTAACGGCGGCCTATCCTGAAACAAATATTCAATTCAATTCAATTCAATTCAATTCTGGTTTTATTGTAAATAAAAACATACTGAATAAAAAGTCCGGAGACTCATACAATTCAGTTTACAAATTATAAATACATACAAGAATAAAGAAATCAATACTTTTAGCAATCTTTTTTATATTAATTACTGATTCTAATGAACTAAACAACTAATTTCAAACAATCTTGAAATAATACATGTTCTAATTATGCAGTTGTAACATTTAAATAGTAAAATATGTTGTTACCCTTTTCTAAATGTCATATGCAATTAAGTAATACACTTTCAAATTAATAAATAGTCTTTTTTAACCTAGTTGACATTTCTTTTAGAAATATATTTTTATATACCGGTAGATGATTTTCGGAGAGATATGATAATACAAAATATACAATATATGTTTACTTACAGAGTATAGTCCTATCATTATACAGGTACTATGAAATATTAATTAATCCGATTAAATGGCATGACAAGAAATTCGCAAAGAACAGAGCGTCGTTCAGACAGTCTGACAACACTCAGCGACTGCAGAAGTTGAGCATAAGATATGGTGTCGGGAAATGTACCAGTGATGATACCCAATGCTCTCCTCTGCAGTCGCTCAATGCTGTTTACTTGGACAACAGTTAAACTAGATGACCAAACAGGTACACCAAATTCAAGACACGGACGAATGTACATCATGTATATCAATACCAAGTCCCGAGTGTTGACACCGTTCCTTTTAAGTTTGCTCAGTACATATAGTTTTCGTGATGCGTTTTTGACGATGGTTTTGATGTGTAGATCCCATTTAAGATTATCTTGGATTGTTATACCAAGTAATTTCATATAAGATACCACTTCAAGCTGATTACCATTGATCTCCAAATGGGGGGCAGGCGGTGCATTACGTAAGAATGAGATCAGCATGGTTTTGCACTTCGTTGGATTGGGCCTCATGTCGTTTATTTCACACCAATCAACAAGAGAATCAACGTGTGTTTGTAACTGCGGAGGGTCCGACTAGTTGACAACCTCTAGAAGGCTTAGATCATCGACATATTTCCAGCGGTTTTCTGTAGACAACGCGGCACCATTAACCATTATCAGGAAAATAATGGGTCCTAATTTAGTTCCCTGCGGAACACCACAAGAGAGGTGGAGAGATTTGATGTAACCCCACGATAACGAACAGTTTGCGTTCTTTGCGTCAGGAAACTACAGATAGTCGGGAGAATGGAGCGGTCAACTCCTATGTCAATCATTTTTCTGATTGCTGTGACATGGTTGATATGATCGAAAGCTTTACTGAAATCGATCATGCATGATTATTTATGAATCATGTTATTGGACTTCAAAGCACAATATTTATCATTTTCTTCCCAGAAGGTTTTATTTCACTTGTTATTATTGGTTCTAGGACACCTACCCCCTTGACATCCCATCCCCGGATAACCACCCCAGTCAGCTACCCATAAGACAAGTACTCCCCTAGGGCAAACACCTTCTAGGACGACTACCCCTCGGACAACTATCCCTCGGACAACTACCCCCGGATAACCACCCCAATCAGCTACCCCATAAGACAAGTACCCCCTAGGGCAAACACCTTCTTGGACGACTAAACCTCGGAACAACTACCCCCGGACCGTTTACCCCGGACAACCATCCTCTAGGACAACTACCACTGGTAGGACTATATAAAGGGGTAGTTGTCTGGGGTGTAGTTGTCCTGGGGGTAGTTGTCCTGGGGGGTAGTCGTTATAGAGGGTGCTTGCCCTAGGGATAGTTGTCCTAGGGGTAGTTGACTGGGGTGGTAATCCGGGGGTGGATGTCTAGGGGTAGGTGTCCGGATACGATTATTATTACTTGATATCATCATCCAAATATTATGGCTCACTTTTTGTTCTCTCAGTGGCCCTTCTCGTACATAGCCAGCCGCAAATGGGGATTATTTGACGAAAAATCAATGCTTTTATAAAGCCCAGATAATTTCGCAAACATTAAAAAATTAGTTAACAGTTAACAGTTAGGTACTTGTAGAAAACCAAGATAAAACACTTGTCAAAAGAAGGCATCTGCACCTATTATACAATAAACTCCCAGTTTGTAATATCTCGTTGGTTTGAAACAGATTTTATGTAGTGCAGCTATAGGCTATTATAACAAAAATGCCAGAAATACAGAAAAAGGTGTTCTGGCCCATATGCAGAGACTACACAGTTCATGCATACAACTCGAATGAAAGAAGAAACTTGTGCTGACCTATACGTCGCCGACTGACTGCGTGGAAGACCTTGCTATATATTCTACAGACCCGATACATGTTAATAGGGCGGGCGATCTGCCATTTTGAAGAAAAGACCTATTGGCCAAATTATTGGTTCAAGCCATATTTGTATCATGGATTGGTTTTATTTTATTTTTTCTATTTTTAATAATAATAATATCGTTTAACAATTTTTAATGAATCTCATTCAGTTATACATTGAAATTCATTTTGTAATTTGTACTTGTAGCTGAACTCAAGGTTCGCCTCGTAGGCGGTCCGGATGAGAGCCAAGGTCGTGTTGAGTTGTTCTACTTCGGATCATGGGGTACTGTCTGCCATCACACCTGGACCTCATTGGACTCGGAAGTGGTTTGCAGAATGTTAGGATTCGTCGGGGCTATCGCATATTCATTCTCCTCATTATACGGACGTGGGACAGGGGAAGTGATACTACGTCAGCCGAGATGCTCTGGAAAAGAATCGAGTCTTCTTGAGTGTGATCCAAGTTTTAATCTGGGCAACACTGGGTGTGGACATACATCCGATCTCGGAGTTTCATGCTTAAAAATGGGTAAGAATTCAACCATATTGAAAAGTCAAGAATTTCGCGAGGATGTGTCATGGTATGTCACATGACACCCTACTTGTTATTAGTGGCGTATGTAAAAGGGGACAAGGGATCACGTGCCACCCTTACATGTAGAATGGCTAACAAAGGGTAAAGATGCTCGAGAGCGGAGCGGTGGACAGTCGTGTAGGGAAAGGCAGCAAAATACAAAAGACAGAAACAAAGAAGAAGAAAAGCATGAAAGGACCCATTCCCCTACACTACAACAACGGCCCATTCCCATGGCGTTTAATCTACTGGTGACCGGTGTCCACACCATCCCTTGACCTCTTAATGGTAGGATCGACGCGTCAATCCAACTATTAATATTATGCCAATAAAGTTTAACGATCTTCAATATATGGAAGTCGAGTTTTAAGCATGTGCTTCGGTGCAGCGCAATTCCCAGTCAATTTGAACACTCCGTCACTACGAACTTTTGTGACTCACAAAGGTTTCAAGTGATGGATCCTAGTCTCACTCCTGAGGGCTCGTTCGACCAAACACAGTCAGACACAACTTTGGAAAACGGAGTACGGGCAAATATTTGGAAAACAGCTTATAACTATCAGTAAAAATCAATGCGTGTAGGCATTGTGTTAAAAATACATTGGACAAATCTTTCAAAGTCAACCTACGGTCAACATAGATTTTAGGGGGAAATAATACTGTGGGTCAGTTATCTTCAAAATCTATGAAGAATGGGTCATGTAAAGAAACGTTCCTCATTGCAAACAGCAGGTTGACTCAAGATGATCCCCCCCCCCCCCCATTTCTACCACGCACTGAACGATGAGGGCACTATATTCACTGTGCGATATCCGCTGTTTTGTGATCATTTGCAGGCAGTACTCGGTTTTCCCAACTTTAACAAAAAATGTTTTAGCCCTCCATAGGCTATTTTATCGAGTCAAACAAAATATTCTACAATGCAATGAAATGAAGTCTTTCTTTAACTGAAACGAAATCGAATACTTTAAAATTTCTCTCCTTGTTGTTCACACAGTGACTGTTACTTATTAAAAAATAAACGTTTTACATACCACCTTTAGAATAAATATATCTCTCGTCTTCATAATATTGAATAATCTTCAAAGAACTAAATTTTGGAACTTTGTTTATTAAGCTTTTGTACGAATAGTTGCCACGTCCTTTTAAGGCACTAGCAGTGCCTTAAAAGGACGTCACATTGCGTTCACGTTCTCGTCGTGCAAATCTAGAAGTCCCTACTGTTGTCATTTGATTTCAGATGATTTCCGGGTGCGTTTGGTCGGCGGAAGATCTGACAAAGAAGGCCGTGTTGAGATTCTATACCTTGGTACTTGGGGGACAGTGTGTGATGACAACTGGGACCTAAATGATGCCAACGTGGTTTGCAGAATGCTCGGCTACGAACGGGCGGATAACTTCTCCTGTTGCGCTGCCTTTGGACTAGGATCTGGACCTATTGTTCTGGATGAAGTGGAATGCGAGGGTACAGAACCAAACATAGGCCATTGTCGAAGGAGTGATTACGAAACCCATGACTGTGATCACTCGGAGGATGTTGGTGTCTCATGCATCGAACATGGTAATTGTTCACTTTCGAACCTGCGTCCTCGGCTGGATCAATTTTAACTTCCACTGTTAGCTGGATTACAGGCGCACGCCATAACGCGTAGTTGCGATCACCTAGGCAATAGTCTGATTTTCCGATCCTTTAACCGAATGGTCGTACGTTTTGTGCTGCACAAAGATTCAATCAGTTTAATTTTGGCCATTACAAATAGTGGGTTATTAATGTAGATGCTCATGTACCCTTTCAATTCATTTCATGCATGTTACACTGTCGCTCATATAGTTGAGCGACAGAGTATTACCAAAGAAAAAAAGATGTCAGTCAGTCAATCAATAGTGTCTGACAGTGAAGTCTAGAAGGTAAACAATTCTCCTTGCATACTAGGACACTGCTAATGCTTAAATTTCACAGATAGGACATACATGACATATTCATAATTCCTGCAAAGTGCTACAGAATTTGATGTTGGCTGCAAAAGGGACATAGTATGTTAAAAAAACATAAGTATGTTAAAAAAACATAAGTATGTTAAAAAAACATAAGTATGTTAAAAAAAACATATTCGGATCTTTGGCAAGAGTTCTGAAAGGAGATTCTCAATGTTTCCAAATAGCATGTTGTTCAAAACGTTATGACCTTTCTTTCAGTCCTTATAAGGACTACTTACAATATGCTTCCGTAAACTTGTGCATTTTTCTACCTGTTTCGCAATGCGAACCTACAAAACTCGTGCATTGCAAGTAAGGTAAAATATAAGTAAATTTAGTATAAAGGTTTTGATTCCCTTTAATTCAGGGCCCAAGCGTACTCTAGCGACACTATAAAGGCGCCACCGAACTACTTCGTCTTTTGGTTTGGTTATCTCATCCCCACTCCATTGACTCTACATCCACATTAAACTGGGGAAATAATTTTGCAAACGTTTTTCACGCGTTTTAAATGCAATGTTAGATGCAAAACTCGCAAAAAAGGCCGTAAAAAAGCCACCACAATATACATATTTTTACCTTCAATTCAATTCAAGTTCGGTTCACTTGTGCTTCGCGTACTGAAGGCTCATTGGATATGTTGTTGTACTGGAAACTATTGCACGCTTTTTTTAATGAAAACAAAGTAGGATAGTCAAGTCACATTTGCTCTACGGTTGGGACACGGCGGCCGAGGCTCCCGAAATCGAAAGATACATGCGACGGCCGCAGATGATCTGCTATGGCCACAGGGTCACCCTAGGGAGTATTCCTATTTTCTTCACAACCGTAGGGGTCGCTGTGGGATTATAGTGCGGAGTTATACATTTTTGTTATTCCCAGGTTCCAGTTTTTTTCATTTCCAGGTTCATATCCAGTTTCGCAATAAGACCATTAGACCTTGCGTCTGCCTTGGTATTTGTCAAAAACCTACTGCCGCCGCAGGGACGCCCTAAGACGACCGTGCGTCATCACTTCAAAGGCCGTACGGCAGCCTGTTCTTCATATTATATTCCCTGCAATAATGACTGATTCAAGCCGCTGAAGATGGCGTTATCAACGAAATCATATATACGGTCAACACTCACCAGCCCGCGTCTTATTTTTTCGTGTCACAGCGAGCCCAGATTCCAGTATGAGCTAATTTTCATACATAACAAGCTACGAAAGCTTGCAATGAGGTCACACAAAAATAGACTTTGATTATTTTCTGTTTATTTACTATTTATGAAGGGAAAACAAAAACTGTGATTCGAACCTTCAAGACAACTCCAAGGTTCTATTAATAATACGCTGTCCTGATGAAAAGTTGATTTGTATAATTACTATTACCCTATTAACAACCCTACCGGATTTCATGTGCGCATGCGCTGGTTTCCTTCGCGAGTGCGCATGCGCAGGTTTCCTTCGCGAACTAAATCTGGTCTCGCTAGGGTACGAAAAAATAAGAGGCCACCAGCCCAGCCTAAGCACTTAGCATTTTTTTCGCCGCGCGTCCTAATGTAATGATCACGCCATCTTCGGGTGGCAGCAAGTAGCAAGTTGGTGTGGTGGAGATCAAAATTAAATAGGCCATACTGTAGACTACCCCAACACATGTGACTGCAACCGTTTGTGAATAATGTGACCGTGGGAATGCTGCGGCGGTCCTAAAATTGCTATTGGCCGTATATATTTTAGACCCCACAGCCGCGGCGGCAAATGAAACACATGTAACCGCGTTTCACCAATCCTTTGATAATGATTTAGGAGTGAGTTGTATAGTGATTAATTAGTGATATAAATGTGATATGCCTAATTTATATTCATTCATTAAATTAACAGAAGTGGAACAGGAATCCTCTACAACCATGGCACCGAATGGCAGTGAAATGGGTCTATCCCAGCCTGTCACATTTGGTGAGTTAAGTTGCAAGTTACTATTAGCCTTCAAAATGTTTACCTTATAGATTTGATCATTTTCTATTTCATTCTTCTAGGCTTAAGTGTTTTATCTTTCCATTGTCTCTTAGACAGGAGAGTCATAATGTATAAATCAGTAACACGATCGTAAATACTCCCGATAGATCACCCCAGGCAATCTTCAATAGCCTTGTGCGTTACCTAGTGATGAGTGTGGTGCTTGACAATCACGTATAGCGTAATCAGAACATAATTTGTATTGAATATATTACGAGGTCGATATTAGTTTCATATTATATTATATATTATATAGGTATTGAAATTCTCCTCGAGGTGATTTAATAAACTTTTCTCCCATCTTGTCCGGTATATTATTGTTGCCGGTCAGTGACAGAAGCAGTGAATGCTCACATTGATACGGTCTATCATAATTGGGATTTCGTACGGTTTCCAAACGGTCCTAATCTTAGTCACGAACCTTCCTTTTATACGGTACACATTACACATTGATATGCTATTTGATTTTATGTTTGCGGCTGCATGTCTTTTTTAAAGATTCCAATATTATTTCTTACCCAGGTTTAATTGGATTCCTCTCCGTTGCAGTTATTGGTATCCTTTTGGGTTGTATCGTCATGACATTAATGGTGCGGAAGTACAGGTATGCCTCACAGCAAAGCACGTTACATTGATATTGCATTTAGCTTCTTTTTTTGGACTGAAAGAGAAGGTTGAGTTCTGGAAATTGGAAACAACAATTTGTGAGATTTGGCCGTTCTTTTGATGTCAGTTTGGAAGTCTTTGCCCGTATTCAATATACTTCAAAGATTTATTAGTAAAAAACTCCATTGATCTAGATCCAACATCAACTCTAGACTACCAATACTTTTCTATCAAACGACTTCGGAAAGCCCCACATGGCTATATTATGCTGCGGTTAAAGTCCATGAAGGTAGATCTTGAAACGGCCGGCCAGTTCTTGTTATTTACGCTACCGTTTACATCATCTCCTGCTAGCCTAAACTGAATCAAATTGCTAAATCTAACCTTTTTCAGACTCATAATAATGCACAAGATTTGTCTCATCGAATATTATGCCGATAACACATCATTCCCTGTTTACACATTTGCATTCCAAGGACCATGAGATAATTTCTTTGCGACATTATGTTCAAAATTTAGAAGTATAGTCCTGAAGGCTATATTCAGGCTATGCCTAGATTAGCTATCATAGCGCTATTTGCATTACATGCATGCAAACTGATAACCTGAGCTGCATTTTGTACGTTTTATTTTTATTCCATTTGATCGAAACCCGAAGCGACACTGCGTGGCACTCCCGAAATAGTCCCTATCCAAACAGCCTCAGAAGTATCCTTACATGTAGGGTAGAATTCTTACGTATCTGAGGTATCTCATTTGTACAAGAAAACGACAAGCTAGTTAAGCACTTTCTCTTAATTAGATAAAATCTGAAAATATCAACTACCTCCTAGGGGGAAATTACTTAGCCCCCAATGCTTTTATAGAATACGCATTTTTGCTAAGACTTTTCTCTAAGCAAAGACATAAGAGAAGCAAAGAATTGTCATGAATAAAAAGTTTTGGGGTCGGTCGAAAAGGGCAATACAACGTTTTTTTTAAGGCCTTATTTAAATTGCTGCCAGACAGTTTCTTCCACAATTTCAATGTCATTAACTTTATATTTTATCATATTAATATATAGGTAACTAGAGAAAATGCTAACTCTCTTTTACTTTCATCTTCTTGTCTCTGTTAATTGCCTTGAGGAAATAATTTATATTTTTACTGTCATGTTTAATTGGGTTCTCTACAACTACAGGAGATCAGCGAATCAGGCTAGTAGTCAGCAGCAAGGGACAGCGAAACAAAACTGTTACAACGGACCACAACATGGTGAGGAAGGTTGCTTGGAACTTAACGTTGTCCCTCCCAAGCTACCAGAGAGATCTTCACGAGATCAGGGTGAAACATACGAAACGCCACGACATGCTGACAATGGAGATGTTTATGAAGATATTAAGACCTAAGAAGAAGAAGAATACAAAATCTAGTAGTACTTCTCTAGCTCTCCCCTTTCCATTTCTCTACTCTTATCACTCTTCCTACCTCTCTAACCGTCTGCCTTTTATGTTTTACCTCCTTTTTCTCTCTCTTTTAGTTATCTTTCTCTGTTCTGAAAATATATATACATTTTGAAGAACAACGTAATTCTTTGACCATGTTAATCGTTCTTTATATTTTCCATTTGCTTTGTAATTCACTTTTATGTTTAATTATTTGAACCTGCAAGATTTAACTTCAGTTCAATGCATCATATCTCTGATTTGAAGCATTTCTTAATGTTCAATTTGAATATATTAAATCAATATTTACTATGTTTTTATTTACTTTGTATGAAATTCTGCATTTCTGCAATTTTCTTAAAGAATAATTTAATATGGAGCATACGTGTGATTATTACGCAAGATTATTTTAATTGAATCTAAATGATGGTGTGCTTTGTTTTTACTACCACGTTTGCTTATGCGTTCTCTAATATATAACAAAATTTATATCTAGATTTATGTATTAAAGGTTTTGCATAAAAGCTCAGTATAAACGCGTTTAATAGGACATATATTCAGGATTTTCTCTAGAAACGTCCTTTCGTTTAAGATTGTGAGAGATTATTTTAAAAAGGTAGTACTTCATACTTCGTTTCCCAGTTACTGTAGATACGTCTTGTCGTTAAAGATTGTGAACGATAAACAAAAATAAATATAGGTAGTATACTCTATGATGAAACTTGTAAATACAGCAGCTCTACATGTACAAATGCTTTTTGAAATGGTGAGAAAAGATGGAACTTTGGTTAGATGTACACAATCAATCACATAGCATAACCGTCATAGGTAAGGTATACTTTGTATTACTTCTATTTACCTCATACTGTAACCATTAGAAACATATTGATTTTTTGTTTAAAAGTAATCATAAAGATTTTTGATATGTATAATCATGATTCAATGTAATGTGATAATATTTCACTGGTATACATTACATTTAAAAGCTAATGCACTGAGTTTGACCGGTGCACACATATCTATCTATATATATATAGTTATATATTTATATATACAAAGTAGAAGGAAATGAGAGCATAACGGTTGCGTAGCTTAAATCAAAGTTCATCTTGCTGTTTACAGGTACTACGTCTCATTTGCAGGCCAACAATTAAAAGGTTAAATTCCAACGGCATTTGAAAGATAATACATATCTAGAACTTCCCTAAAAAAAAAGGGGGGGGGGGAGGGGGCTTGAAATGTTTTTAAGTGGGAAAATAACGACTATGAGCTATAGAGCCGGTAAGTAATAGCCTGATTTTCAGACCATTGTACCGAATGGTCGTACGTTTTATGCTGCGCAAATATCCAACCAGTTTAATTTTGGCCATTACAAGAGGTGGGTTATTGATGTAGACAAATGCTCCTTACAGCTCATTTTATGTATGTTATTACCAAAGAAGAAAAAAGCCAGTTAGTCACTAAATAGTGTCTGACAGTAAAGTCTGGCAAGTAAACGGGTTTCCTTGCATACTTTGAATATTAGGACACTGCTAACGTTTAAATTTCACAGATAGGGCATACATGACATATTTATAATTCCTGCAAAAGTCTACAGAATTTGATGTTGGCTGCAAACGGGACATAGTATCTTTAAACTCCTGTCATGCAGTTGATAACTTATTGAAACCCGTTGCAAATTTGACGGGTCCCCTCCCCCTGTTTTTTTAACTGAAGAATGAAAGGTGGACTGGTTGAATGACAGTCTTTGTCGAATGCTTTCAGATTGTAAGCTTTAATATGTCACATTCTCAAGAAACGTTAACCGGACGAATCAATCTTTCACATACTTAACAAAATACAATTTTTTGTAAGGGTACGAATGCTTAAGTTGTTGACTGTATGGTATATTCATATAGTATATAGTACTCTGACATATGTATTTCTTGCAAAGCCTTATTTTAATATGCACCATCTACGCAGAGACTAATTTCATGTAAGCATAATTATATATGTTAAAAACCTACTTTTTTGTTAAATAGCCTTTTTCATTTGCATATGCAGCCCCCTCGATTGTCCACTATCTATTATGTATAACTTAATATTTGGCTGTAATTCCCTCTCTTTCTATTTTTCTTAAGCGCTTAGAGACATATTTTGTGATAAGCGCTATACAAATGTTGTTAATTATTAATTATTATTATATGATTAGTACTCAAGATTATTTTAAATAATCGAAAAGGATTAACGGTTTTGTTTGTGCGTTCTATATTCTTAGAAATAAGCATTCTAGATTTAGGCATTTAAGGTGCATAAGAGCTCAGTATAAACATTTTGAATGGAGGGTACGAATGATTTAGTTGTTGACTGTATAGGTATATTCATATATTATATACTCTGACATATGTATTTCTTGAAAAGTCTGATTTTAATATGCACAATCTACTCAGAGACTTATTGAATTTAAGCATCATTATATATATGATTAGTACTCAAGATTATTTTAAATAATCGAAAAGGATTAACGGTTTTGTTTGTGCGTTCTATATTCTTAGAAATAAGCATTCTAGATTTAGGCATTTAAGGTGCATAAGAGCTCAGTATAAACATTTTGAATGGAGGGTACGAATGATTTAGTTGTTGACTGTATAGGTATATTCATATATTATATACTCTGACATATGTATTTCTTGAAAAGTCTGATTTTAATATGCACAATCTACTCAGAGACTTATTGAATTTAAGCATCATTATATATATGATTAGTACTCAAGATTATTTTAAATAACCGAAAAGGATTAACGGTTTTGTTTGTGCGTTCTATATTCTTAAAAATAAGCATTCTAGATTTAGGCATTTAGGGTGCATAAGAGCTCAGTATAATCATTTTGAATGGAGGTACGAATGCTTTAGTTGTTGACTGTATACGTATATTCATATACTCTGATGTATTTCTTGAAAAGTCTGATTTTAATATGCACAATCTACTCAGAGACTAATTGAATGTAAGCATAAATATATATATTATTAGTACTCAAGATTATGTTAATTAACCAAAAAAGGATTAACGCTTATGCCTGTGCGTGGTATATTCTTAAATAAAAGCTTTCTAGATTTAGGCATTTACGGTGCATAAGAGCTCAGTATATACGTTTTAAATGGAGGATCATCAATAGTGATCTGTCAGTTTATGACAGGTTCAGTGACCCATTCAAAATTCTATATCAAGTGTCTCTCCAAGTTTCTCTCCAAGTTCCTCGGAGGATTTATACCAAGATTTCCATACGTCTGAGGGTGTAAGCACCATGCAATAACTTCTCATACGAGATTCAAGAGCTATTTTCAATATACCAATGAGTTCCGACTGGTCCTCATTTTCAGTAATAAGAAGATGGAAATATTGAAACATGACCTGGATCTGCACATTACAAATTTCCTCTTTTTCAGATAAAGTTCATTACATTTGTTAGGTACTCTGGACTTCAAAATGTTGTAACAAGAATAATAAATAGAAAGAAATAAAGAAAGCATTCTTCCACGGCTACATGTTTTTCTCTTTTCTATAAACTACTCTTCATATATATTCATGGCAAGATAAAGAGCCGTGCATGCTTTAAAAAAAAAAGTTTTCAACTGCTGGTGCAAGTTATGATAACCGTGTAGGATACTGGTAAGTCAGAATGAAATCATTTCTGTTTTTGTATGAACTGCTTGGTTTTATGAGCTGTGATAAAAAAATAAAAAATAAAACAAGATTGCAGAGTATCAGCATATAATCATTCCAAGGTTATTACATTGATGCGTGATATTCCCTTTGACCTATAATACAAATAATTTTAAAAAATCCACTTCTCTGCGCATATCAATTTATATTTACATCTAAAAGGTGCTCTCTATTAAAGTTCTAAATTATTTATTGATTCCTTTTGCGTCAAGAGAATTGACCAACCTTGAATATATTAGAAAAAGACTATTCGATATTAGAATATTTTTGCCTGGAGGATATTTCTTTAAAAAATAAATTTGTATTCGTTCTTTGGCGTGACGCACCCTCTAATAACGGAACTATGTTCCATTTCCATGCCCCCCAAAATGAATAGGTTAAATTCCAACAGCATTTGAAAGACATTAACAATTTAGATCTTCCCTCAAAACGAAAGGGCTTGAAAATGGACTTAAGTGTCAAATCGACTTAAGTGATTGCAATCACCTAAGTAATAGTCTGATTTTTAGACCTTTTTTACCGAATGATCGTACGTTTTGTGCTGTAAAAAAATTCAATCAATTTACTTTTGGCCATTACACGTAGTGGGTTATCGATGTAGACATATGCTTATGTAACTGTACAGCTTATTTTATGTATGTTATTACCAAAAAAACAAAGATGTCAGTCTGTCACTCAATAGTGTCTGATAGTAAAGTCTAGAAGGTTAACGTGTTTCCTTGCATAATTTTAATACTAGGACACTGATTTAATATGTATAAATTTCACATATAGGACATACATGACATATTCATAATTCCTACAAAGTTCTACAGAATTTGATGTTGGCTGCAAAAGGGACACAGTACGTTTAAGGAAATGAATTGAAAGCAAGCTGGGCTAAATTATGGAGTTAACCGTTACAGAATGTAAAAAACCTCAAATGTTGAAAATGAGATATTTACCGCATGCCATGTTCAGCAAAAATATCTTGAATTGAAATTATATTGCGTGTAAAGAACTCCTCATCAAAAATCTTTCTTTTTTCAATAAGAAATTGTTATTGTTAAAATAGTATAAACCCAATACACACACACAACACGCGCGCACACACACTGCAAAAGGGGTTACCTGACCTGGCCCCGTCTTACAAAGAGTTACGATTGATCAAAATCAATCGCAGTTCCTCCAATCAATCGCAAGTTTGCAGTCTCCTACCTCTTACGTTTATATCGATTGATATCAACTCTTTGTAAGACGGGACTCTGGTATGAGGGGCTATCTCGAAAACATCAATAGAGGGCAGCTGTCGTAACCTGTGGATAATTGGAATATGGCGCTGAATATGGAAAGTTGTTACTTTTAAAGCTGAATCTTTGGTCCATTTTTCGCCTCACGCACACCGCCAAAAGCTTCCAAATTCGAGCTGACTGCCTGCTCAACAAAGAATACGTCCGACGTGTATCAAAATCATAGGTGCAGTGTACAGTATAATTCGTACAGGGTGCGTGTCAGGGATTGACATGAAATAACACCCTGCAGGTTAAATAATTATTTTAAGCTCTTGAACAAAGACTAAACGCTTTGTGGCAACAAATATGATCTACTTGAGGCACATCAACCACAAGATTGACCCCAGTTTTCTTCATTTTGGCCTTAGAAATTGAAAGTGTGTTGTAATTCGCGCTAGTATTATTGTAGTATAATCAAGGAAGGTTCTGTATACTCTGTTATGTTTTTATTGCATTCATTACATCCAAATTTATGTGTAATTTGATTCTCGAATAAGAATGATGTGTTCAGATTGCCCGTTTCTTGGCATTGGTACTCGGTCATAAGCCGTGGAAGTTGAGTGTGGAAAGCATGTTTATGTTAACACTTATCAACAAAGTGTAAGTAGATGATGAAACTTGCTGTAATTATTTCCCAGGTGTTTTAGGAACCTGCCTTAACGATGCTTAAGTGTTAATTAATTTGCAGATTATCTTACATATTGGGACTATTTTACCTTCATCTAGGTTAAGATTTGATTACAATTGATTGTGTTGCAAAACCTACACAAAACCTAGTCTGCATGCCAGTTTCGCCATAATACTCGTAGAAGTGCGCTGGTGGGAAAGTCTACACACACTAGTTTAGTATTTAGTTATCTGTAGATGCCTCATTGTATGTAGAGGACAAAGGCAGCCAGTCTAGCGTTTACTTAAATTAACAAAGCATTTACCCTAAAGTTGTCATTGTCATTGACATTGGTTGCTCGCTGATGATATTGCCATGCATGATGTATGGCCAGGCTTACGTGTAAAAACATGTGCGCACA